TTTGCACCAGATGGTAGAATCAGGATTTCAGTCTTCAATTGTCCTGGGGCTTGGCACAACAGTGCCATTGCTGACCATGGCGTGTATGACAGGATTGAGGAGGTTCATGCACAGTCCAATGCAAAGGTTGTGGTGGATTCWGCCTTTGCCTTGAAAGATAAGGAGCATATCCTCATCAAAAGCTCACAGCATGACCCCGAACAGGAGGACCTCCTCCTTATCAACAGGGATGCAACTTCCTTGAGACAGATGTCCGAGTGGGGGATGAGAATGATTCAAGGACAGTTTCCGAGGATCAAAGACAGGATGTTCTTGGAGGAGCATGGAGACAGGAAGATTATCATGAACTTGTTGGTCAACCTCTACAACTACCAATGCAGCACTGTAGGACACAACCAGATCCTGTCGACCTTCATGAGGACGCCAGCAGCAACTGATCCGGAAGAACCGTACAAGAAGAACGATCTTGCAGGGGGTTTCTTCCATGTAGGACGCGACATATCCCCCCATGGGAATGATGTGTTTCTTGGGTGATTCCCATGGTGGTTTAGAACTTCAAACAATTAGTAACAAGAAAGATTAAATGTGATTAGGAAATTGTAATTAGCTCGATCGGCTTGGCGCTTCGATATATCGATCGGCTCGGCCCTTTGATATAACGTGTGCTTCGACAGGACAGCACAAGGCACACGCAGCAAAAGAACGCAGAACGCATCCGCTTACCATCACCACCATGGTGAATTGCCTCCAGTCGTTACTTTCGTTAACCATTGATGAGTTTGCTGGGTGTGTTTGCTTTTCACTCCGTAGAATACTGTAATAATGAACACTCACTACTGCTGCGGCTGCCGTGGATCGCGTACTCGTACTGTTACTGTCATCATATTAGGTTTTATCGTGAACCTTGTCCCACATCCGTTGATAGTGAGCAATGCTCTGGAACATTTAAATTTATACTGTAATGAATACGAGTTCACTCTTATCATGCAATGAAGAACAGCGTATGATATGAAATATGTGCATACCGAGGAGGGCCTCATGTGCATGCCAATACGAATCGTTTTGGACCGTTTTCGTGGGATTGCCCCTACATACCCACGTGCTAATCCCGCATTGGTATGCACGAAAACCCATAGAAGACCAAAAGGCAGGAATACGTACAGCCCCTACCATCACATACTGCCACAGCGAGGAACAGTACTGCTTGCATTACTGCTTGCATACAGTCGATAGGCTCATTAAGCTGGTTTAAGCTGGTATGAATGCGTGTAATTTAGTGCATTTCAATTAGTTCGTAAAAGAAGTAAGCAACGTTGTGTTTTTAATTGTTTTCACCATGGGATTCTTCTCCTGTGGCCGTACGGGGGCGTTTCTCGGTCGACTGGTGGTAAGGAGCAATGTCGTTGTTTGTGGCTCTCGACTGCTGAACTTGTGTGCTTTGCCATTGCTGGAAGCAACTCATTGCCATTGCAAGAGCGTTCTTCCACATCAGATTCGTCTCTTTAGCAATTTGGCTTGCCTCCTTTGCAATCACGGAGTGCTCCCTTGCTAGCTTAGACTGCTCCAAAGCCAAATACTCATTGAATACAGTAGCGTCAGGAACTTTTGAATAAGATCTCTTATTCAAAGAAGATGAAGAAGACTGTACCAGCATTTTGGAGGGCTTCACGGACGAGTCGATGGTTGATTCATCTACAGCAGCCAGCAGGGGGATGATCGGTGCTCCCCCACCACCTACAGCCGGGGGGATGATCGGTGATTCCTCGGAGGGGATGCTCTCCAAACCCTCCTCAGCCTCATCAACAGCAAAGCCTTTCTTCGTGTCAAAGTCCTCCTCTCCAGTACCAAGGTTTGCTTTCTTTCCTATCAAGTAATGGGCGCGCCTGGCAAGCATCACGTACCTAGGCATGTTAGGGTTACCAGTTGAGCTCTTCTTTTTTTTGATCGCGTTGTACTTGTTCCGGATGGATTTCTTGCTTCTATCAAAGGGATACTTTACAGCATGCTTGGTGACAACAGTATCCCACTGTTCTGAATCAATCGGGAGTACTTCCACTATCAACTCCATGAGGCTCTCTAGCTTAACAGTTCCAGATCTCCGGCCATTGGCGCCGTTTGGGTTGGCATTCAGTTCCATTGTTGTAAGGAAAATAACGCGGGGGATTGGTGGACAATGAGCTCCCTCTTTGAGGTCGACATCCGCCTCCTCTTCCTCTCTTTGATGCAACAAAGAGAGGTAATAGAATGTAGTGACTATAAAAACTGATTGTTGGGACATTGGCATTGTTTATGGTCAACTGGGCGCCTTAGCGCCATTGTCAAATTGAGGCGCCTCCCCCTCTTTTAGTGAGGTTGTTTAGAACAACGGAAGTCTTAATTTTGGCGGGCCTTTCTGTTGAGTCTTACAACAGACTCAAAATTTTGGTTCGTGGATTCCACTCTAGATTTAGAGTTTTTAGAACCGGGTGCTTCGACCGGTTCTAAAAACTCTAAATCTAGAGTCAAAAACTCCAAATTCTGATGGACTGACAGACCAAAAATTTAGAGATCTAGAGTAACAAGAATCACCCAATCAGGCAGTATCCTATCCTACCGTACGTACCTACGTACATTAAAGTGTTTGTTACTGCTGTATTACAGCAGTAGTGTCTACAAACATACTTGTGAGACCTACAAAACGTAAGAAAATATAGAAACGAAATCCATCTGTCGTTGCACCGTTGT